TTTTTTGGCTAAAAAACAATTCTGGGCTGAAATGAAACCGGTTCCCAAATTTTCTAATCCGACCATTCGATCCCGTTCAATCCGATTTTAAAAACATTTGTGACGTCAGACTTTTTATAGATATTTAATAAGAAAAATAACTATTTCCAAAGAAATATATAAATGGTTTCCAAGAACAAAATGTGCATTAAGAAGTTGCAAACTAGAGTGGATGTCTTTTAGGAATAAGCAAACTATATAACAGGCTTTAGAATTTATGTGAAGGCATGGAGGGTGTCTAACTAAATGATCCTTATTTTAAATTGAATAAGCAAAAACATTACATTAATTAGTTGCATCAATATCGCTGCCAATGGAGTGACAAAACATTCTATTAATTAATTGTAACTATATTGCTACATGGTCTACTGTTCCTTCATTCTTAATTGGTACAAACAATCCAAAATGATTGCATTGAATGAAACTTGCTTCTTTTGGATTCAAAACAAAAATTTTTCACGGATCGAAAAGTAATTTTGGATTTGACCTGCAAATCAATAATGTAATTCCAGCAGTATGCTTTATTTAAAATTCGGTTTGATGGCTGAATCTTTTTTTTTTTTTTTTTACTTTTTGACTGGACAGACCATGTTAATGTGTTTTTTTTTTTCGGAGAAGTACGGACTTTCTCCGTTTTTTTTCAGGGTCATTTACTTACACATCCTTTATAGGTTTACACATTTACAACCTTTTTTTTTTAACACTTCACTTTTTTTTTTTTCGGATTCCATTGTTAAAAAAAAAAAAAATCGTAACTAAGCCATTTTGTTAGTAGAATTTGTGGAGTACAATTAAAGTTTATAAGAGGTTGTATTTTTTAAGCATATGCCTGGATATAATCGTCTAGCTATCACCAACATCTTTTATTTGATTGCAGTTTTATTTGGGACAATCAGGTCGTGTTATATCATAATTTCTACTTTATTCATATTCAATGAAAAAAAGTTGGAACTTACCCTCTAGTATGCGTATTTTGGGGCTTAGTGTCACTTTGGTTTCTAAATTTTAGAATGCAACAATTTAGTTATTTTCCTTGTTTTAGGCTGCATTTAGAATGCAACAATTTAGTACTCGAATTTTTAAAACGTGTCAATTTCATATTTGTTAAGTGAGATTTGAAAAGACACAAGTGCCATTCGAGTGTCATCTAATTTTGTCATTAACCATTCAAATGTTGATAAAACATGAATAGTCCCAAATCATTTTTTCATATTCAAGAAAATTTGGGCCATCATGACACTTGAAAGACATTTGTGTCTTTTCAAATGCTACTTAACGGCATGTTCTAAATTGACACATTTTGAAAATTTGGGTACTTAATTGTCGCATTTTAAAGTCCGGGGACCAAAGTGGCACTAGGCTCAAAGTACAAGATACAAATCTGGAATCTTTCCTTTACTAAAACACTACTTAACTTTACAATTACTTAGGCTGCATTTGGCATTCCTTGTTTTATGGACTTATCTTCTTTTTGCAGTTAAAAATTCATTATTTATAAGGGTATTTTAACTATAAAAAGTTGCTAAATCCTTAAAATAAGGAATGCCAAATGCAGCCTTAATCAATCCTTCATCAAGAACCTTTTGTATTTCCATTAGGAATGACCACTTGATCCCTTAAAGTGAGTGAAAAATGTGAACGGACATGGACCCAAAGTTTTTTATTTCAAAAATACACCTAAAAGTTCTCATATCACATGTAGTTCACCCCTTATCCAAAGTTATAATGTTGGGAGAGGCCAGGATTTGTTTGTTTTCTAAAGGTCAATAAGAAAATTATTAGTGGAATAAAAACCTTGACCAATGCCCCTACGTATTTTTGTCACACCTTAAGATTGTGTTTGGTTTGAAGGAAAAAGTAGGGAAAGGAAGGGAAAGTTAAGAAAACCTTTACAAACCTTGTATAGGTTTCCTTACCTTTCTCTTCTTTTCCTTCAAACCAAACATAACCTAAGGGGTCATGGTTTTATAGGAGTATTTTAGTAAAATGCAAAACAAAGAGTAAATTTTAGTACAAACATCAAATCCTAGGAGGTGATTAAGAAAATGAACTTATTTAAAAAAAAAATACAATGGATTAGACGTTGATCCAAACCAAAGTTGTGACCAAATTGGTATATGATTGTGCCGACAGATTGGATCTAAGGCTCAGCTTGGAAAGATTATAAATACAAATATGTACAGTGCAAATACATAGAAAATAATACAAAATACAATATTTTGTACTCTACAAATTTATATTTATACTCCTTCCAAACTGAACACAAAGGTTGAAAATATGGAATAGGATGAGCTACAAGCTAGCAAAGTTGTGTACTAGAGATAATAGATTTCACTCTAGATTGGTTCTGTAGCCTGATGTATACGCTTTTGTTTGCAGCTCTTCTCGAGTTGAAAATACTGCATTACTTTTATCATGTTGTTTTGAAAACATCAATTATTTTATTCCCCCGGGGATGCAACTTGGTTAAGCTCTAATTGGAAAATTGCTAAATTTTCAATGGATCCAGCCCAAAAGACTGGGTATGATACAAGGTAAATTCTTCAAATGGGGTATTTGACTTGCACTCCTACTAATTGCAACCAACTAAGCTTGGATCTCCTACCCACAAACTCTTTTCATATCCCTTACCAAGGTTTTAAAAACCGACTTGGAAACAGAACCGTTCTGGCCACTGATTTCTGGGTCAGCGGTTCAACTATTCGGGCCAAACAGTTCGAGCGGTTTAAATATTATAAATGGTGATATGTCATCTTATCCATTAGATTGGAATATTAGGGTAAGATGCATATAAATAGAAGAGAAAAAGGGTTTGACTATTTGAGAATGAGAGAGATGTGAGAAGCTGTCGATGGTTGAGAGAGTTTAGAAGATAGAGAAGAAGAAGAAGAAGAAGAAGAAGAAGAAGAAGAAGAAGGAGGAGGAGGAGGAGGTCAGTTGCAGTGGTGACGATAACGGCGACTTACAACGGCAATAGCGATGGCGAACTACTGCGGTGGCGGTGAAAGTAGATGTAAGATTTCTCTCTCTCTTAGATCTGTCATCTAGACTCTTAGCCTTCTCTCCCAGATCTCTTTCATTGTCTCACACATCCAGTAGATCTCTCTCTCTCTCCATTAGATCTCAAATATGAGATTTGAGAGATTTCTCTTTTCATTATTGAATCTTGCTCTTATTTAATAAACTGCAAACCGTTCTTTGAGTCAAACGGTTCAACGATCAAACCGTCAGGGTCAACGGTTCGTTGACTAATTCAATGGTTTTTGACCAAATACCAAGTTTGGGGTAAAACGGAACTGGTCGCTTGGACGGTTTCCGGTCCAAACGGTCTGACCATCTGAGTCAATAACGATTCAAAAACATTATCCCTTACCCTCAAGATACCACCGCTGTGTATTGAAAACGTCTCCCCATAAAATATCCCCATTGTAGGCTAGGGATGTGAAAAGAGTTTGTGAATAGGAGATCTGGAGTGCAACCAAACACCCCATCTCATTTTCTGTCGATAGCCATTCCCAATGGATCCTTGAACCTAGGGGTGTCAATTGGACTGGATTTGGTCCAATCCAATCTAGTTCAATGTGAGTCCATTATAAATGGACCAGGTTCAATCTTTTAATCCAATGAATATTTTGGACCAATTTGGACCAGTCCAATTCAATGTCTGAACCATCCAATCTGTTCAAATCCACTTTGATTTAGATTGGTTTCAACCTGAACCTGGTCCATTGATACCTATATTCTTATTTTATATCAATGGACCAGATATTGGCCTAGTCCAATCCAATCCAATATAAATTTTTTATGGACGGACCAGGTTCATCCAATCCATCTACATTGATTTTGGACTTAACGGGGTCAAATCCAAAACCGGTCCGTTGACACCTTTACTTGAACCCTGTCAAAAGTATTGAGTTGTGTGATGCATAACTACAATTAATTGATCCTAGCCACCAAGAAGATGATCAAGGTCGTCAATGTGTTGCATTGCTTTATATTCTTTGTGTGCAAGTCATCCAATAAAATTCAGGCAAAACCTATGGTACATCAACTGCACGGTGAAACAGAAGAACCAGTGATAAAACCACATATCTCAATTAATGTCTTTAATGTTGTTAAAATCTTATTGGTAAATACATTTCTTTGTGAAATGTGAACTATTGAAATAACTGAAGGTGCATGATTAATTGATATCACTTTGATTATGAAGGTGCATGATTAAAGCCGCATTGCTGCAGTCTCTTTGTGACAAGGTTGGTAGGTATGCGTGACCTGCAACATGCTCTGTCACCAGTCACCACCCCTTATCTACTTATGTCAAAAATAAAAAAACTAATATAAAACAAGTGAATGATGTTGTCTTTAATATTACTGAATGCACCATACTTGTATTGTGTGGATTGTACTTATACGGGAAAAGTGTTGGCAGGTGTAAATCAAGCTGTGTTGGGCTGTAACGCCCACGCAAAGAATGGGTTGTGCCATGCCTCTCTTTAGAGGGTCGGCCCGATATAATCCGAATTCGTACAAATACGTGTCATGCCGTACCGTATTGCAGATCTAGGTCAGATTGGCTAATAGGCCGTGTCATAGGCCGAGCTGAACTGGGCCAAAAAGGCCCAGATTTTTTTTTTTGCTTTTTTGATATTTATTTATTTCTTAAATAAAACTAAAATACTTAACTTTTTTTCGAGTTTATTTAAGTAATTTCCGAAGCATTGTATCCGGGACCGAGGACCGGGGCCAGGCCAGCCGAACAAACGACGGTTCACATGGTTCGACTAGAGCATTGAGCCATTGACACGTAGTGGCACGATGGAATGGAACGGAGATGATTAAACTGTAATCAAAATTGCTTTTGACGTTGAAATTACATGATTATACCGCGGATGCGTGTTACATCTATTCTTATATCTTTTCACACGTGTCAAAACACTTCTGTACGCCTGTACCTCCCCTCCTTTTATCCCATCCTTGCCTTTCTCACTCCCCCCTCTCTCTGTCTGTCATTCTTCTTCTCTCTCTCTCTGAATCTTACAATGCTTTCGTTAATGTGAAGGTTTTCGACGCGACGATGGATCCGTTGGACGATGAGGATCTCCGTCAAGTCGGTTCTCGCCGGGGATCCGAAGTGGCATCGACGGATACCGGAGCATCTTCACTCTTGTCAACTGAAGACAGCCGGAGCATCACTGGCTCCAGCGATATCTCGGTCAGTAGCAGCAGCAGCTCCAGTGAGATTCCCACCGCAGTTCACGAGGATGCACTAGTGCCGAGGCTGGTAGGTACTAGGCCTAGCGTAGGAGGAGGAGAAGAGTTGACGACAACGCTGACGGTGAGGGAGAGGTGCGTGGGGAGGAACAACAAAGGAATGACGTGGGGATTCACTTCGATCATTGGGAGACGGAGAGAGATGGAGGATACCGTCGCCGTTATTCCAGGCTTTATGTCTCGAACCTGCGGTCTTATTGGAGGTTGTACGGCCCCCGGTTCTAGAAGCTCCGGCGAGATCTCGCCTGTCCATTTCTTCGGCGTCTACGACGGTCATGGAGGCTCTCAGGTTTCTTTATTTAGCCTTTCACAGTATATGAGAAATATGATTTATTTCCTGTTTTTTAATATGTAAAATACAATAACTAAAATATTTAGATTAATGATCTTACGAGAGGAGAGACATTAGTTTTAGATTTTTAGTTCCTTACCAAAAAAAAAGACTTTTTCATCATCTTCTTATTATTAGAAAAATAAAATATATTAGAGGGGCTTTTTTTGAAATATATTTTCTGACAGGAAGGACACGTTGCACACAGTGGATGGGGCTTTGAAAGAAAACAATCCCATATCAGGAAACTTTATTCATTGTCTCCTCCAGTCCTATTCCGTCGTGGACACGTGTAAGTTTACGACGTATTGTCAGTAGTTTGGGAGTGATGTCACCTCGTCACTGTTCCAATTGGCCCGACTTGGTGGGGCCCGTCCAAGCTGGGTCGGGGCGCCACCCCTCCCAGAATATAGGGGCTCAACTGTTTGTCAGTATATTCTCCTATCCTGAAGCACCATAGGTTCGTGGGCCGTGGCTACCAGAAATGGAGCAGTAAAAATATGTTTGGTATCATTTCTGTTTCTACCTGAAACGTTTTGGCTGTGTTTGGTTTGAAGTAAAAGGTAGGGAAAAGAAGGGAAACCTCAAACCTATACAAAACAAAACTATAGTTTTTCTACCTTTTCCTTCAACTTTCAACAATAAACGTCAATGACCAGTTCCCCCCCACCCACACACAATGCATTTATCTAGCTAAACTACTCATATATGTTATATGATACAACACATATTTCTGATCAATTTGTATTCATCAACCCAAAACATTTCAGGTGGAAACAGCAATGGTACCAAACACAACAAAGTCAATCGTAACCGGAACTCTGTACATGCTTGAGTTGTCTGTTTAAGCTGTTGAATTAAGAAAAAAATGAAAGAGTTGCCTAAGCTTGTTATGTGGAATACAATTCGGTCGTTTTCTAAGCTGTTAACTTCAAGTGAATTCAGAGTGGGCTATTGTTATTGACTAATTTGCCATGGATATCAAATTTTGTTTGTTCTTTTTTTTGTTTAGGGTGGGAGAGGACGGTGTTTTGTGTTTTGTGTTTAAAATGGAGAATGCTATTTGTGCTATATTTTGAGTAAACGTACTCTTAGAAAGCTCTCAATTCAATAATGATTGCCCTCATTTTTTTTTCTTGATCAGTAATAGGCGTTCTTATGTTTGTACTATGCTTAGAAATTATATTAAGTTTCACAACAGCAAGTTCCATACTTTATGACCTGATTTACTTGTATTTTGACTAATCATTTTTTAGGGAATTATGTATCTGGAATATTTGTTTCATATTTCAAGGTTATGCAGTATGACACAATCAGAAGATTAGAACCAATCTTTGTTGCATTATGTTGGTTGTACTTTTTGCAGCCAACTTAAAATTGGTTTCTGAAAGCTGCTGATAATTTTCACGTTCTGCTTTGGTAAGTGATAGGTTTCATGTTTTAGTCGGTAGTGCTCTATTTTCTTACAGATGCTAAGTTGCGTGATTAAGGTCATAACTGGGATATTTTATTAGTACTAGTTTCTGAATCTCTGCGGATCTATATTGTCTGTTATGGCTTAGTTTTTTCCCATCTGGGAGGGTGGTTGGTATTGATGCATTTCACAAGTGTTCTGTTTCACCAATTTATGACATCAGAAAGAAGGCAAAAACACCATTAAATCAAATTTGGCAGACCATATTTTGGATAAACTTTTCTGCAATAATTATGCCTTGGGTTTCATGGGAGGGGGTGATCTTGAATCGTAAAAAATGATGTTTCTTGAGTTACTATTCTGATATGGCACATTGAAATTGAAAATCTGATAGCTTGGGGAGCATGTCCTAAGCATGACCACCATAAATTTTTAGGTTGCAATCTCAAACCAGACTATTTATGTTCTTACCAACTCATGCTAGTATTATCCAGTTGCTTTTATATTATTATAGGGTCAATTTGGGAAACCAAGAAAGTGATTTTGGCCTCAAAACTTGGATTGGCACCAAGAGAAAAATGAGGACACCTTTTGAACCCCTGTGAATCAAGTTTGAATCCATGTGACAGCTATACCTGAACTTGCATATGCACGTATCCCTCTTTTTTCCAAAGGGGCCTCATGTGAGGATGATATCATGGCCCTTCTTACCATAATCGATTCATTAGTTACACATCATATGGATCAAGTTTACTTGGCAGCCAAAAGTCTTTTCTCACTTAAAAGGTGGCCTTCCTAGGGCTGGTCTGTGTAAGAAAGTTAAGAGGCTATTGAGAGGAAAGCAAAGAATGATGGTATTAAATTGTTAAAGTGGTTAAATGACTGAACACAAATTAGAATGACTTTACTATTGATATTCCTTTAAATGTTAGTGTTGGTGGATGTAGTTTGGATATTGTAAGCAATATAAAAGATGATTCTATGAAAGGCAGTGGTAGCGGCAAGGATAGGGATAAATAATGTTTGCTTTGTGTTATATTGCAGAAGAATTTGAGGTTAATTCTTGGGAACCGATAGTGGGAGGTGTTTCTCAGAAGTTGAAGTATAGAATATGGCCTCTTATTGACAATATGAATGTTTCGAGTAAGATTGTGTAGGAAAAAAAAACAGTAAAATTGTGTAGAAGAGGATGGTAAGATGAAGAAGGTAGTGGAGGAGTTTGGAGAAGATATTGTTTCAATTGAGGAAGTGTTTAAAGTAAAGAGGTAAGTGGATCTTAATAGGGTGATTGAAAAAGAAATGGAGGTGGTTAAGAAATTGCTGTTATTCGTTTTGAGAGATGAAGATATTGCCAGAGAAGTGTTTATGTAGTTAGAAGAGAACAGAATGAGAAGTCTTAATGCCTTAGATATACTGTATAACAATTAATTTGGGACCTGGGAGAATTTTCAAAAGATGTTAGAGGGGAGGGGATGAAGTTTAAGGAAGTGTCAAAGTAGCAGCTGGAGGGTGCTAGGGTGGTTGAAATGGAGAAAAGATTTACAGGTAGAGGGCATCTTTGGAAGAATATTAAAGGTGTTTTAGGCTTTTATGGGGAAACATCTCTTCTATTTTGGAGGGGTTAGGGTCTAGCTTGTTGACTTGTCAAGTTAAGTGGTAGAGGGATGGGAGGGTGGGTTTTATCTCTATTTTATGTTTATTGTCATCATTATATCTGGAGAGGTTTTATTGCAGGGGATGCCGCTATTGAGGCTTATTTTCCTTTTGCTTATCTTGGTGATATAACCTATAACTCTATCCTTTTCATATATTTTAATGGAATTTTTATTTTACATCATATTGCTAGCATCACCTCCCCCCCCCCCGTAATTTTGTATTTGGAGGAACTTTTGATCCTTCAGAAATGGGTAATTTCATGGGGAGTTTCAGAATGGCATAAAATTTTCTACTTTGAGCAAAGCATTAGAGAGGGATGATATCTACATGATTAATTGATGTGGGCACCAAAGTGGTCCTGAAGTCGAGTCTACAAATTTTCTTCTTTTCTTGAAAATTTTCCTAAATTTTGTCTCAAGGGGTAACTTTGTCATTTTATATTTTGAATGCAGTTTGGTCATAGCTAGGTCATTGTTAGGATTGGTTTAAAGTTTCATAGTTATTGGGTCGACAGTTTAGAAGTTAGTTTTTTTTCCTCTTAATTAGGTCTTTATTTACAATTTCATAATTGTAGTTAAGAGTAAACCAAGCCACCCTAGTTACCCTTTTATATTTGTTATCTTTTTCTGTAAGGCCACTTTGTGAAAAAAAAAAAGAAAAAAAAAAATCCAAAGGTTAGGACCATATCCAGTCCATCCTTCCCAAGATCCCAGATAGGTGGAACCTAACTTGACTATTTTCTTTTCTTCTTCCTCTTCTTCTCTAGTTTACCTTCTTCTATAGGTTTATTCTAAATATTGATTGGGGCTATGATTCCATCTATTAGAAGACATTAGTTTTGTTAACCCAACTGTCTCCAACCTATATTTCACCTTTTCTTCAACTTCTATTAAGTTTCTACAAGCCCTAGATTAGAACCTCTCTATCTAGAAATCATTTAATCCAGGAAAACTAGAAAATCCCATTAAAACTTCTCTCTATACTAATCACCCTATATTATCTCAACCATTCACATACTCCTTTCAAATTGTTTCATTTGTCTTTGTTTGCTGGAACACAGTAGCCGAAGAAGAAGAGGAGAAAGTTTGAGAATGGCGGCTCTAAACCTTTCAGCCAACCTTACTATCTTATATATATGTTTATCACATAGTGTTACATGAATGGACTAGAATGCCCCTGATTAGTGATGGGACACCTAGACAAATAWWASATTAAACAAGTTTAGGCCCAATAACTAATGACTTAAGACCCAACAATGACTAACATA